GTGAGTGTATGCATTTTTTGCACACAAAATCCAGCACCTTGGGACGTCCTCCCGACGTGAAAGGCGCTTTACAAATGCAATTTTGTTGTTGTAGTTGTTGTTGATGTTGTTGCGGGTGAGCGTGGCGGCCAATATGCACACAACAGTGTCCCATGAAAGAGTCATCATAACTAAGCTTATCAACCGTCTCGGAGGATGTTATGAACAGGATGAGGCATTTGGTAGAGAAAAAACTGAAAGTTTATGAGTTTGGGTGAAGTTTTAATGAAAACAATTGTACATTCATTAGGGCTGAAGTGAACTGAAAAATATTACTTTATCGTTTTTGTAACAAAAATACTGTACAAAGGATTCTTCCACGAAGGAGATTTCTGTTGTGAGCCAAGCTGTCTTGTCAATTAAGATCAATAAAATTCAGTCATGAACCATTAGCTATGTGACTCACTTGACCAGAATACATAGGAATCATAAAAAGGGCATTGGATAAGGAAATATTACTTGGCCTAAAAAAAAACACCCCACTCCTTCCACATTCCATACCAAGGCCTCCTTATCATGGACCTCACCCACTCAATGATCTCCTGGATGAAAGCTTCACACAAAAGACAGACTCCCAAAGGAAGTAAAGCTAAAAGTTGCCACAGATAAGATCTTGTGCTCCCATCGGGCACTATTGAGGTCACTGTGTCTCCATCTCTCTTTATGTCATCTCCAATGCAGTTCTCAAACAGATACTTATCTGGTTCTTTTTTCTGAAGGAGCCAATTACCGTAGCATGGAGTCCAGCTTGGAAAAGCAAGGGCCCTTAATGGCCGTCCTATGCTGCCTTTCACAGCTGCTGATGGCTTTGCCTAGCTGGTTTCCTCTCCTACCTAAAGTTATTTGTGGAGTCCTGTAGCTCAGTGGTTAGAGCACTCTCTTTGCAAGCCAGAGACCTGAGTTCAATTCCAGGCAGTGCAAAATCTTGGGCAAGTTTCCTTACTCCACACAGAGCCTAATAATAATCCCTCCAAAACAAAAAACAATAATAAATTGGTCATTTTCAATCTACGACTGTTTGTGGGACATTGCTGTGCGCAATTGGCTGCCGCGTTCGCCCACAAATATACAGTCAATTCACTTTACAGTGTGTTCTGTGAAGCGCTTTGGGACGTCCTCCCGACGTGAAAAGCGCTATATCAAATGCAAGGATTATTATTATTATTATTTCTACTTTAGGTCCAGTATTGACAAATCCTCGTAATTGCCTGAAACCACTCAGCTCGGCATCACCTTGCTTTGCACATGGGGCATATATTGTTCACATCTTGAAAGGAATTTACAAAATTAAAGAGAACGAAGGGTGAGACAGAAGTAGAGAAACGGTTGGGAATGTAGCGCTAGAAGGTAAGGCCTGGTACAGTACTTATTGTTTAGTGCTGCAACAAACATAAGCGTTGCACTTACTCTCTGGGATTACTGACACCCACCAATTTCTCTCTTTGGGAAATTATACACTATACACAATGTACATGCTGGAAAAATGCCATTTACTTGACTTGTGAACAGGGAAGATGCAATATTGAAAATGTCAGATTTAAAATAAATCCAGGCCATTACAGACTAACACACAAAATAACGGCATGCGTTCGGAGTCAGAAGGCTGTGGGTTCAAGCCACACGTTAGGCGATTGAGCTCAGAGTCGAGGCCTCACTCACTGCTAAATACGAAGGGAAGGGCTGAATGTTTTAAGCTGAATGTTGTGTGAAGTAATGTTGGGTGTGAACAGCCACTGGGTGGCAGAAATGCTCCCTTTCACATAGAGTGGAAACTTCCATTTCTCCCACCTTTAATATTCTACCTTTGATTGAGGATCTCCCAACCCATTTTGTTTGTAGATTGACATTTATCTATTGTCCATTGTTGTTCTGCTGAGTTAGGGAGAGCAAAGAGGACAGCCGTATTGGACAGGAATGTTTTTTTTTATTGGGCATGGAGGGGTGGGGGGGGGAAACATCTATTTGGGTTTAGATCTACTCTATTAATGTAGCATTTCCAAGTGTTGAAATCAGCGTTAACTTGGGATGTGGGTCTTGAAAAAAACCAGCTTCCAAACTAAAGCTGTATTTAAGAACTTGCTGAATTCCGACTGTCCAAAATATTTCATGGAAAGAGCAGACCAGGTTGAAATTTCTCCCCAGCATTGCTTTAAAGGGCACGTGAAGGTATCCATCCATTGGTTGACAGGCTGTTATGAATCACCAGAGTAAGAGCTATATCCTGTACTACATCCAATAAACTCTTTAAAAATTGGAAGGTTTCCATCACAACACCCCACAGTCTTCAAGCTGAATATAAAGCACTCATTTGACATGCTTGCTACAAGGATTAATTTTGTATGGGCTAAATTATTCATGTGAACTTTTCTATGAGCTCAAAAGGGATTGCACTTCACATCTTGAAAATATATTAAAGTTTCAGTGGGTATTTCAAATTGGAAAGAAATCTTTCTCTCAGGTGCTGATTGACTTTTGGTTTGCATTTTCAATTCTTTTAGTGTTTGTTTTTCTGATTTCTCAGTGAAATCTGCCGTAGCTTTGGGCTTTAAGGGAACTATTTAACGACATTCACTTCTTTTCTGATGGATTGCATTTTGTAAGCGCTCTAAGACACTTGTTTTTACTTGAACGGTGTTGTACGATCGCAAATCCGCTATGATTGTTACTAACTGTGGCGGTTGAGAGGAGCCAGGAAGTTGCGATTTAGAAATTGCAACGGTTCAAATCGAGAGATACCTTGGAGTTAAATAACAATCCTTGCATTTGATGTAACATCTTTCATGTCAGGACGATGTCTCAAAGTGCTTCAGGGTATTTACTTGCATGGTAGCCAATTTTGTGTACAATGATGTCCCACGAACAGCCCTTCTCCTTTCAAATAGTCTTGTCTATGGGATCTTGTAACGTCCACCTGAACGGACAACAACAACATTGCATTTATAGAGCGCCATTCACGTCGGGAGGATGTCCCAAGGCGCTGGACAGTTGGGTCGGGACCCGAGCAAGGGGGGAAATGGTCAGGGTGAGGGGAGGGGAGGGAGCGAGGAGGGGGTAGAGAGTTGCGAGGGGAGCTGAAGGCACGGTTGAAGACAGACAGACGGGACCTCAGTTTAATGCCTCGTAAGCATGACTTCATCTCTTACCGTGCAGCCCTCCCCCTACCACTGGATTGGAGCGTCAGCCTATCTTAGATCATATCAATTCCAAGTCCCAACGTAGGAGTTGAACTCACAATCTTCCGATTCGGAGGTGCGAGTGAGCTGGACCCTGCAGCCTTCTGACTGGGAGGCGAGAGTGCAAGTTACCCTTCTCCGAGTGAGAAGGCTGCGGGGTCAAGCCCGTGGAGTCCTGTAGCTCAGTGGTTAGAGCACTCGCTTTGCAAGTGAGAGACCTGAGTTCAATTCCAGGCAGAGGGCGAAACCTTGGGCAAGTTTCCTTACTCCACACAGAGCCTAATAATACTCCCTCCAAAACCCAAAACAATAATAAATTGGTCATTTTCAATCCACGACTGTCTGTGGGACATTGCTGTGCGCAATTGGCTGCCGCGTTCGCCCACAAATATACAGTCACTTCACTTTACAGTGTGTTCTGTGAAACGCTTTGGGACGTCCTCCCGACGTGAAAAGCGCTATATCAAATGCAGGGATTATTATTATTATTATTATTATAAGCCACCCTGCCCACCCCCCCCCCACCGTCGGGATTTTGAGCTCCCACACTCGGGGGCTGACTCTTCCAATGCAGTGCTGGGGGAGACCTGCGTTGTCGGAGGTGCCGTCCTTTGGATGAGGTGGTGGGGTGTGAGGAATGTGTGTGTGGGTGGGTGGGTGGGGGGGGGATGGGGGTGAGAGTGATTTGAGGGCCAGAGTGAGTGTGCGAGAGTCAGGCTCCGCCACTGTTAAGCGCGCAGAGACGCGACCCTGCGTGGAGGGCGCTATATAAGTGCAAGTTGTTGTAGGAGCGGTTGGATTGGGTGCGAGTTAGTCTGCGTGTTAGGGTTGGAGCGTGCACGAGTGATTAATTGTGGGGGGGGAGGAGTGTGTGTGTGTGAGTGGGGGGAGGGAACTGTCGAGTTGGGGGAGGGGCAGTTGGGGATGAGAGGGGGGTGTGGGAGGGGGATGAGTGTGTGGGGGGGGGGGGGTGAGGGGTGAGTGTGTGTGTGGGGTGAGGGGTGAGTCTGTGTGGGGGGTGAGGGTGGTGTGTGGGGGGGGGGGGTGAGGGTGAGTGGTGGTGTGGGGGGGGTGAGGGGTGAGTGTGTGTGGGGGGGGGGGGTGAGTTGTGTGGGAGGGTGAGGGGTGAGTGTGTGTGGGGGGGTGAGGAGTGAGGAGGGGTGAGTGTGTGTGTGGGGGGTGAGTGTGTGTGGGGGTGAGGGGTGAGTGTGTGGGGGGGTGAGGGGGTGAGTGTGTGGGTGAGGGGTGAGTGTGTGGGTGGGGGTGAGTGTGTGCCTGTGGGGGTGAGTGTGTGGCTGTGGGGGTGAGTGTGTGGGGGGGGTGAGGGGTGAGTGTGTGTGTGGGGGTGAGTGTGTGTGGGGGGGTGAGGAGGGGTGAGGGGTGAGTGTGTGGGGTGAGGGGTGAGTGTGAGGGGTGAGTGTGGGGTGAGGGGTGAGTGTGTGGTGGGGGTGAGGAGGGGTGAGGGGTGAGTGTGGGGGTGAGGGGTGAGTGTGTGTGTGGGGGTGAGTGTGTGTGTGGGGGTGAGAAGGGGTGAGGGGTGTGTGTGGGGTGAGGGGTGAGTGTGGGGGTGAGGGGTGAGTGTGAGTGTGGGGGTGAGGGGTGAGTGTGAGTGTGGGTGAGGGGGGTGAGTGGTGAGGGTGGTGTGAGTGGTGAGGGGGGGTGAGTGTGGTGGTGAGGGGTGAGTGTGAGTGTGGGGGTGAGGAGGGGTGAGTGTGAGTGTGTGAGGGGTGAGTGTGAGTGTGTGGGGGGTGAGTGTGGGGGTGAGGAGGGGCGGTTTGCTCGGGGCGGGTTTCCGGCGGAGGGGGAGCGATGGTGCACTCGGCGCTGCTCGGGTTCGGGCTGCGGTCGCTGCGCGGCCGGGGAGGGGGTGCGGCCGGTCTCGGGCTCGGGGCCGGGCTCGGGCTCGGGCTCGGGCTCGGCTCCCGCCGCGGCCTGGCCATGGACGAGCTGCTGCGGCGCACGGTGGCGGCTCCCACGTCGGCCTCCGAGACCAGGGACAGTCCGGGGTGGGCCGCCGAGGGCCAGGCCCGGGCCGGGGACTTCGTGACCTTCTACCGCGGCCTGGAGGCCGCCCGCAGGCCGGCGCTGCTGAGCCGCCTGGCCGCCGGCTACGGCGTGGAGCACGGGCGGGTGGCCGAGCTGGCCCGCCGGGTGGCCGACTGGCCGGGCGGGGAGGCGGGGGCTTTGGTCCAGGCCGAGGACCGGCTCCGACACGCGCTGAGCCCGCGCTACCGGGGCCTGGTCCGGCACGTCAGCCGCCTGGAGGCCGGCGTCAAGTTCCTGGTGGACATGAGAGCGGACATCCTGCGGCACGTGGCCTCCGGGGCCTCGGACGGCCCTCACCTCAGGGTAAGGGAGCCCCCCCCCCCCCCCCACCCACACACACCTCAGGGTAAGGGAGACCCCCCCCCCCCCCCACACACACACACCTCAGGGTAAGGGAGCCCCCCCCCCCCCCCCCCCCCCCCACACACACACACACACCCCTCAGGGTAAGGGAGACCCCCCCCCCCCACACACACACACACACACACCCCTCAGGGTAAGGGAGCCCCCCCCCCCCCCACCACACACACACCCCTCAGGGTAAGGGAGGCCCCCCCTCCACACACACACACACACACACCCCTCAGGGTAAGGGAGGCCCCCCCCCCTCCACTCACACACACCCCTCAGGGTAAGGGAGCCCCCCCCCACACACACACACACCCCTCAGGGTAAGGGAGGCCCCCCCCCCACACACACACACCTCAGGGTAAGGGAGCCCCCCCCCCCCCCCCACACACACACACCCTCAGGGTAAGGGAGCCCCCCCCCCACACACACACACCCCTCAGGGTAAGGAGCCCCCCCCCCCCCCACCACACACACCCCTCAGGGTAAGGGAGGCCCCCCCCCACACACACACACACCTCAGGGTAAGGGAGGCCCCCCCCCCCCCCCCACACACACACACAGACACACACAGCACCACCCTGGGACAGGCGGGACGTGTACATGTGTGGGTTCAACCCCACCCCTCAAACCCCCCCCCAACCCCAACACCACCCCTCAAACCGCCCCCCCACCCCTCAAACCCTCCCCCCACCCAGCCCCTCAAACCCCCCCCCCCCCCACCCCTCAAACCCTGCCCCCCACCCCACCCCTGGACAGGCGGGACGTGTACATGTGTGGGTTCAACTCTGTCCCCCCCCCCTCAAACCCTGCCCCCCACCCAGCTCCTCAAACCCTACTCCCCCCCCCCCACCCCTCAAACCCTGCACCCCCACCCCAACCCTCAAACTCTGCCCAACCCCACTCCTCAAACCCTACACCCTCCCAACTAAACCCCTCCAACCCCCTCCAAACCTACCCTCCAATTCCCAGCGACCCTAACCCCCCCCCCCAAACCGCCCCCCCCCCCAACCCGTCTGGACTTGTAACCACGTAGTCGAAGCCGACCACACGCCAGTGCATCACAGGGTCGTCGGTGACGCTGTCCTTTTCCGAAGAGGCGTTAAAAGACGTCTTCGTCCGTTCAGGGAGGGAGGGAGGCGTTGAAAGATTCCGTGGCGCTCTTCTCTCTCCCTCTCACACGCTCGGCCCGCGAATCCTCCGAATAAAATCGATCGCTCGCTCCGCTCGGTGGCTATTCGTGGGGTGGGCCGTCGCTGTGAGCAACTCGCCGTCGCGTGTCGCCCACAAAATATACACTTTTACACTATGTCTTGTGAAACGCTTTGGGACGTCTGAACGAAGTGATAAGGTGCTGTCGTCAAATACAAGGATTATTCTTATCGTTAACTGGTTACCGCAATTATACCCAAACAACAGCGAGTTTATATAGCGAGCTCCCTTCACGTGGGGTCGTGTCTCGGAGCACTTGAACGGTGGCGGAGCTTGATGACGAGCTTTGTCACATCCTGATTTGAAAGGTCCTATGTCAAATGTAGGTACTCTAATTTATGTTTATATATAGTGCCTTTCACATCAGGAGACTTTTCAAAATGCTTCACGCAGATGACTAGGAGGTGGGTGAGTGGTTAAATGTTCGTGCCTCTTACTGGGGCATTCACTCAAAACAGATCTTGAAATGAGGGTCAGATGGAATTATAACTCAAATAATCTCATGAATCATATGCCAATCGCTTAAATTCAACTGAGGTCCAGTCTCGATGTTTAGGTGGATGTCAAAGAACCTCATGATATACCAGTGGAAAAAGAGAAGGGAGCTCCTCCTGGTATCCTAGCAAACGTCCTCCAGATAAATTGTTCATTCACACCATTCTGTTTGTGGGACTTTGTGCAAAATAGTTGCTCTAATTGCCCGCAAAAGCAATCACTGCAGTGATCTGATTTGAGATGGTTTGACTAATAAAGTGCTATACAAATGTGAGATCTTTCAGAAATAGACTGCTTGGAGTTGGTGTAAATGTAAAATGATTTGGATGTGCCCACATTGTAACGATGTTGATTGGGCAGTTTCCTAAATCCAGGAAAACACAAACGGGATTGTGTGAACAGCCTGCAGTGTGTTAAACGGCACTACGGCAGATTCAGTGATTGATTTAATGTTGTGAATCCACGAGCCACGTTTGAGTGATTTTATCAGTTTGAACCCCAGTTTGGAGATGTCAGCGTTACAATGTTGGCCAAATTTTAGGTGCCAGATTTCTGAACCTTGAGTGCTTCAGCCTTTGGGATCGCCTTGCACCGAAACTGGGTGAAAAGCAGCACATTGTGTCCAGATGGCCTGGGCTTGTGCCCCAATCCAAATTCAAAAGTATTGCACCTGGCATGATTGCTCCAAATTTATGCATACGAAATGCTAGGTACATTTTCAGCCAATTTCATAGAGGTGATCTCGCATCCGGACGGAAAGGTGGGAATTTGCTATTTTCTAAAAGCATCTGGTGTCAGGAAAACGACCAAAACAGCACATTTTTAATTCTGCAATATTTTAATGATAGCCAATAAATGACTTTCTAATCGCCTACAAAATTTACAAACACTCCACTTTACGATAAATCCTGAGTTGTCCTCCCGATGTGAAAGGTGCTGTATTGTATGCGGTGGTGCAATGGTGATTATTGTCAGTTATTTTTAGTCATTAAAAATCATCTTGGAGGTTAGTAGTACAATGGTAACATACACATGGAGTTCTATTATTCCAGTGGTTGTCAGATTCATGGATAAAGGATGTCTAACATGGTTATTTGATCAGATCTTTCTCCAAATCGCATACCCTCCACTGCTTTATTTGACTATGCTGAATGACACGGGTTAATGATACAGTATTACATAGAATGATATGACACGGAAATAGATCATTTGGCCCAATTTATCCATGTCAGGTATTTATATGCCACACAAGCTTTCTCCCCTCCACATCAATTTAATCAAAAGTGTTACGTTTACGTATAAAACTTTTATTCTGCCAGGCACTCTTATCAGGCGTGTCAAAGAGTAGCTTCTCTGATTTAAATCTGGTCCCCTGAGTCTTGGTTTGCTTCTCAGAACTTCAGGTTTGCAGCACATATTTTGGTTTTGTGGTACAATCCACCCTGGACTACAGAGCTGTGAGGCTTTGGGATTTAATTGGGGATACGGAGTCGTTTTTGTTCGAACCATTGCAAAATAGCTGCATTCTTGTTCTTTGTCTGATCTTGATGCTGCTTCTCAGCTAGTTCATCTTGTTTGCACATGGTTGATGCCTTTGATCCATAAAGTTAGACACGAATGACACATTCCTTAAATTTGAGTACTTGTGTTGTCGTTGCTGATGTTTCTGCTTCTCTGGTCTTGCAAAGAGACTTGAAAGTTTAATACCCCTTCTGTTGGTTTGAATCTTTACGATGTATCTCCGTGCTAATGCACTTATTGCCGCGTCTTACGCATTTTTCAAGATAGATGATTTCTTAATCTGCTTCTAATTTATCTCCAGCAAACTCTACATCCTGATCCTTTGTGTGTTTTTAGCAATGTGACTCATGTTATGTGCTGATAATGAGTCCAGATTTCTGTGTGTTTTGATGAATTTGTTCAAACACTGCTGTTGCTGCAGATGTTAAGGTGGAGATACATCATCTGTATAATCTATATCCTCAATCAAGATGTCACCAGTTTGAAACACAATTTTCACAGATGTCATTGAGCTTTCTAATATATAGTCATCAGCTACATAGAGTGTAGTGATAACAAACATCCTTGTTTAACATTCCTTGTTTAATGTCGCTGAAACCAAGGAATCATTTTGCATCTTTCTCATGCAACTTTTTTTGGCAATTGTGTTTTGTCGAGGTGTTTATAATTATTTTAGTAATTTCTTCTTTGGATTCGGAGAGTTTGCTTGTAGTCTGTAGGGCCATCAAAAATATTTAGACTGGTTATCTGGTTATTTCCCACATTGTCCTCTCTTGCTCTCAAATGTTTTGATTCTTTGATTGTCGGAAACAAATTTCTTCTAAATTAACTTTTCTGCCACAGAAAACTTTTACTTTAACTTAACTGGAGAGAGCCTGTTACAAGATACAGTGAGATAACTACTTTAATCAGTGGACATGAGTTGGAATAAAACTGATGCAGAGAAATAAAGTAAAATCATTTTAGATTATAAGCAAACTATCAAGCAGCTTGACAAAGCTGAATAGTGCTAATTTTTGACAGCTTTGGTTTGATAATTACAGCTCTTGGTTTACTTTGTTCACCTTTTTCTTCAGTGTTCTCAAGTGAACTGTAATCATCATGCATATTTAATTTATCGCTAGAATTGAGAAATAGCTGAAGAATTAGTGACAAATGTAGACAAACAAGATGGGACGCGATGTGATGCACATTCTTCCAATTGAACTTCTTGTCATCTGCCGTTCACATTAATGCAAGATAAAAGGATTAAGGAAATTCTGCCCAGAAGACAAGCCACCAAATGTCGGAGCATCACACATTTCTTTAGCGTAACCTTGTTTACACCTTAATCTATGCCAACAGTACCAGATTAGAAAGCAATATTTTTACTTTTGGTACCATTTGTTTAGTCCCTTATCACCGCTCTCTGCATAGATTATCAATACTCTGGCAGCTCCTGTATTCTTTTGCAACCTGATGAGATTCTGGAGCCCATTTGTCAGTCACTTACTGATCCAATGATGTGTGGTGAAAAGCAGTATACTTATAAGATGCCTTTCAGAAATAATTAAGGCCATGTGTTTCCTCCCTGCCTCTCACAGGTCTCTGGTTTTGGCATGAGAATGAAATAAATATCTTAAAAAGGAGTTATTTGCAAGGAGTATGGGGAAATAAGCAGGTACATGGGACTGAATAGATTACTCTTTCACAGAGCCAGCACAGATGCAGTGTGCCGAATGGGCCTTCTGTGTTTTAAATTCCTATGAATCTACGAGCCTAGTAGGGCTGCATGACTTCGGCAATACCATTTCTATTGAAAATTACTTCTTATTCAGGGCTCCTTTTTCATCAGAGCTATAAAGACCTTGTATTGCAGGAATATTTTTGAAATGAAACATTTTAACTGGGGGAGCGATGGAGGGTCTCTTTATTTGAAATGGTGTTTCTAATAGCGGTAAAAATTGAATTAAATTAACTGGGAAAAAAGAGGTGCACATTTGAAGTCTCAAAACGGCTTTGCAAATTAGAGGATTAGCAACTTTAGGTGACATATGATGTGTTCATGTGCTAGTCATCAATGAGTTGATTTAGGAGAAAATGTTGCAGCACTAACAGTGAGTGTTCTGTAATGCATAAGGTTTATCCACATAGCCACTTATTGTTCTTAATTTGTTGTAGTTTTGCTTGTGAGTCGATGTTGTAGAGTGGACCTTACCTTGACTGTACGTATCGCAGTTAATGATGGTAGACGTTGCCTCAGAATTCAGCCATTAGGATGTGTTTTTTCTGCCAAGATTCAGATCAGCTGCTTCTGTTGAGTTTTATAGTTGATTTTTATCAAACACAATATGTGAGTGAGAGAGCGAGAGATCGGTGGCTTTTTGAAATGGAGATAATCGTTGACCATTGATCACATTGCTCCTGTCATAGACAGTATGGAAAATAATCCGAGGAAACACATCAAACACTTAGCTCTTATCCAGTGTAAGGTTCAAGTGTTCAAGGCCTGTATCTAACTCCATTCTCTTTCCCTCTTAAGAAACAAGATTAAACGTTACCCTTGGACTAAAGTAATTCATGAAGATCACTTCCACAGTGAGCTTGACTGTTTAATACCTCCAGAAGACGCTTCAATTAAATTTTATAGGGAACCTGCTGTACTTCCAGGATATTCATTATTCTCTCTGTAGTCCTAAAAGTAGCCATTTCAAACTCTTGCATGCTGCAATTATTGTAAGGTAATATTCTGCAGTTCTGTTCAAAATCTCATATTAAATATTCATTGCGTATGACTCATCTTGTCGAGGCTTTTTGCCTAATTGGGTGGGCTGAAAAGGTCTCTTCACTACCTCTGATGGGGCCAGCAGAAGAACATCGCGGTCATCATTATATAGGCTTTTCCAAGAATGTAGAAAGCACCTTCCACGTGAGACGTTAAATATATCTTTGGTTCAACCTGGGAGCTTGCAGAGCATTTTCGGATGCTTCCTAAGGTCCTATACCCGTAAATATTTTAAGGAAAACAAAATCCAGGGTGCACTAAATGCACTGGATTACCCGCAGCTCTCAAGATCAACTGAAATGTGGCAATAAAGCCTTTAGGTTTATATTCCCATGGAACTAAAATGTCTGCTTCTCGAATAGTTTTTGGTGGTGAATTTGTCACTAATCTCATCAAGGCAGACAGACCTGTGTAATTTTGAATAAACTCCTCAGCCTAAAAAACCATTCCCAAGATTACATGCAGCCTTTTGTCCTGGTTCTTTCAACTGTCTTAATTAATTTGCTTTCTCATTTTGTTCTAGCAATTGTGCAGTCTAACAATTAATTTGCTTGGCGAGGTCAGCTTGCTTTACCTCTATTTAGTGGTTGACATTCTTAAATCATAGCCAAAAACCAGATGATTGACTTTATTATATATTTGTTTGCTAATTTCAATGGAACAACCTTTTCATACAAAGGCTGAGTCTTGAATTGCATTTGAATGCACTTTCTAAAAAAATAATTCTGAAGATTACTGGTTTCTCAGCTAATTCATTTTTGAACATTGGTTTGATTTTTTTTTATTGAGAAATCTAGGTGAAGTGCCACAGCTTAAAGTGTAGAACATCACCAAAGTCCAAAAGAATCCAAGAGAAAATTAAGACGAGTCAAAGAAGTGATTAATTAGGTCTTGATATTTTTTCAAAAAGCTTGTGTATTATAGGAGGAAAGGACTTCCATTTTTGTTGTGCTTAGTTATATCAAAACGTCTCAAAGCACTTCACTTGTAATTACTCTTAGAATTAGTGACTGTTTTTTGTCGGATTTTGTTTTGCCCAGCCGGGTGGGTGTCTGACACATGCGGAAACCCATCACCATGCTCAAGAGTACCCAAACCACCAGGCTGAGAATTTCATGCATCCCACCTGCACATGGAAATTCCAGAGATGGATTGCAAACAAGGCAGCGACTCACACCACCTTAGACTGTCATGAGGAATGGACGACTGAGAGAGCTTGCGGATTCCACAAGTTAGAGAAAAAGGAGGTAATAAGGCCTTTCATGTCAGGAGCACATTTCAAAGTGCTTCACAGGATTTAGGTAGTAAGCAACGTGACTGGTCTTCATTTCAGCACAGTGAGGAGTAAGAGAGTCAACTTAGAACTTTAGAAAGTTCAGAGAATCAGTAACCGTAGCAGGATCGCCAAAGAAGGTAGCGAATACCATTTGCTTGCAGACCATTGATTTGTTGATAAATTTGGTTTTATTGCTGGCTTACATGGCGGGGCAGAGATCTCTGTGGTCAGTTTGCTTAAGGAGCCTGTGTCGCCACATTTCATGTTGCACATTACAGTGCTGTCAATTATAAAGAGGCAAAAGCGGAGGAAACAGCTATCTCAATTACAAACTCGTTGATTGGCTAAGTCCAAGCCTGAGGAAGTTCAGCTTCCAGCAAAAAAGCAGATGTTATAAGTTAGCTCTTGTGGAAATGCTTTGTTCCTGTCTTTCACCATATTGGTTAACTCTCCTTTATATGAACTTAAAATAAAACAAGACTGTTTGTGAATTAGCTGTGTATCAGCTTCACTTTGCAAATGCGGAACTGCATTCATACTTGTAATGGTCTGCAGTAGTGTTTGATTGACATCATTTATTGGATATCTGACAAACAATGTGTGATTTCATTTCTTCCAGCAGGACTTAATCTACCAGTCAAAAAAAATAACCTTTCTGAAAGAAAATAGCTTTGCACACAGGCTTGTGACCACGTTTTGTGTCCCTGTCGTTACTCTTCGTGGAATCTGTCACAAACTGAGAAGAACTGCCATAACACTATTAGCTATGAACCTTAATAGTGTAATCGACTCTCCGTGAATGAATGAAATGAAGGTGCGTGCGAGAAATTCTAGTGTGGAGTTTTGTCAATCCGTGCAGCATGGGACAATTGCAGTTTGACGGTTTCATGGTTACTTCGCTATGAATTGCAGCTGAGGAGTACCAGAGTAGAGATAGAAACGTTTTTCCTCCCACACTAGTGTCATATGCCTTTACAGAATTGTGCCCCCTGGAGTGTTGCAGCCTACTGGAAACCGTTGTCTTGCAATAATGATTCCTTTGATACAGCTACGTCCTGTAGTTGCTGAAGCAGTAATTACTTCACATAAAGGTGCGTGTGGGGGGGGGCGAGGCGGGGGGAGATTAAATTATACTTTAAAGTAGAATTTACCACATCACTTCATCCATAGCCACTGTCTTTTTAATTTCCGACTTTCTCAACTTCTTAAGTCAGTCTTTTTTTTGTAAAAAGAATACTAAGGATTACAAACCCTGTTATAAGCAATATTTTCAGATCTTGGCATTCAGCAAATGAGACAGGGACTCGAATGCTTCTTCCTTCTTCAAATTGACAGCGTGGATAGTTTTATATGTAAGAAGTAGCACCAAGTAAGTCTATGAGCAAAGGTATAGGCACAAATCTATCATATGTGATAATCCTTGAGGAGGAAAAGTGTGTGTGTGGGGGGGTGGGGGAGCGAGGTTGAAATGAATTTCAGAAATACAAAGGTAATGATATCTAAAATGGGATAGCTATTCACAAAATTTGAGTTTGTGTATGTTTCTGTCACCAATCTATTCGGGCAAAGTAGAGACATGGGGACACAAAAAGTAAGGGTGGTCGCATGCTGATTTATGCAGTTACTGACCAGTGTCATTCATGTCTAGGTTACTGATGTGTTGTAATCTATGGTTTAACTGCATGGGAATTTGCCCATAACTTTTCTAGGAATTTGTAAATGTGTCTACTTACTTGGAATTGCAAAAAATACTCTTAAGGCTTTCCGTGCAGGACATGTATTGCCTTTACAACCATGAATAATCATTCTTGTACAGTATTTTTATTCGCTTGTATAACCCAAATAATCTCAAGTAATTATTTTTTTCTGCTGCTTCAGTGTTAAATTGTTCAAACATTGTAAAAATATTGAACTGGACCCATTAATGAAACTGTATGGCCTCTTTAGCAGAACCTCTGGATACTATTCTCGTTGGGAGTAATAACAATCCTTAAATTTGATAAAGCATCTTATCACATTGTCGGGATGTCTCACAACACGCTTCACAAGATTTTACTGTGTGGTGTGGTAACTGTATTTGTAGGTCCAAATTATAATCCCATCCATACAATTTTACTGCCTTCTTTAATCGGAAAATTATGCACTGCAGTATTTCACTTGATTTCAGTCATTAATTCACTGGCTTGTGTTTGATTTTAAGGAAATGAATGGGATGTTGAAGAGTTTGTTCTCAGAATGGTTTTCCGTAGGATTTTTGAACCTGGAACGCGTCACCTGGCAATCCTCTTGCGAACTTCTGCAGAAAATTAGCGAGTAAGTGTGTCTTTTTTGTATTGTAATTAATTAAGGGAGTACTTTTTTCCCCCAAACACTTGTAAAGTCAACTTCAGCTCTGTCTCAATAAATTAAAATCCAAACAGTCAATAATCTCTGTGTATGCATAAGATTGCTAACATTTTGTGAGTATGAACAAATGGATTAATGACTTAATACTAAATAACACTTCAGTTGAAAAGTGTTTGAGGTAAATGAATATCACTGTTAATTAAAGATGCAACATGTTCATCCACCTCAAAAGACAGGATTGAGTGGACCCAACAGTATTTGAACTTGCCTTTCGGTCACAAGTCAAGTGACTGAACTACCCGAGATATCAGGTTGAGTAGTTCAGTTGGTAATTGGTTTCTGCCTGCTGAACAAACAAGGTGAAACTAGGTCAAATACTTTAAAATTTACACATCTATTCATTTATTATTGATCTGGTGAATACTAAAGAAAGAATCTTTGAAATTCATAGTTTGTGGCGAGGGAATGCATATTGACAATTTCTGAAGCTTCCAGTTCTATTTTATAATGCAATAAACAAAATGATTATTGCTGATAAATAACTAAATGTGAATGTATAAGTGCAGTGGGGGCGAGAGGTGAAGGGTGATAATTATACGGTAGTAATAAATGTTTGGTGCTTTGTCTTAGGAGCTTACATCACACGGTTTTTATCTTCACAGCAGACACATTAAGGTCTCCGAGCACCAGTTGTGCCTCGTGACTTTTTATTGGATTCAGTTTTTGTGTTAAATATGTAAATATTTATAGAAATTAGGTGTTTTTAATGTGGATTCTTAAGAGAATACTCATAGTATTATGGTTACAGCAGTTGTCCAATACTTATTAAGATGAGCTGAAAAAGCACAACTGGATAATTTGAAGTTCGAGCAAATAAATAAGAAACCAAACATAGGTCTTGAACCTTTATTTTGGTTAAACTATCTTGTTATCCTTGCTTTTCAATATTAACCTGTGTGGCAACAATTATATGAACGGGCTGAAGATGAGATTTAGTGTAGACATCTACAGCTTCTTCAAATGGTCTTGAATAATACCAAATGATTTGATCATAATATGCATAACATACTTAATACCTCCTCAAAAAATCACCAATACGAATTGCTACACGACGAAAAAATTAGCGGCATTTGAGTGAGCATCGCATAACAATATATATCAGGAGAGTGAATAAGAAATAATTTGTTTTTCTGATTTACACAAGTGATCAAACTGGTAATAAATTGCTTTTGCTAGCTTTCTACATTATTAGTGAATGAGGATGCATTTGAAACTCAGTGGTGGTGTGAAGCGTTTGACAAGATTGGAAAATAAAATTGGAAGATCTAGTTTCACAGTATTGCTGTTCTGTTCAAACAGCTTTGTTGGAAATGCTGTGGTTGAACATTAACTAAAATGTGTCTACAACTAAATTTTCACACTAGATAACAGTTTGGTTTCAGACCTGACCAATTGTAGTACCTTGAGTTATGTTGCTGCAGCTCCATTACCTAAAATTAATGCAATTTAAATGTAACGTTTCGTTCCCACAGGTATGAGGCAGTGCATCCTGTCAGGAACTGGACAGATATTAAACGCCGAGTCGGACCTTACAGAAGATGCTTTGTTTTCACCCATAGTGCAATGCCAGGAGAGCCTTTGGTTGTTCTGCATGTGGCACTAACTGATCACATTTCTAGCAATATACAGGTGAGATCAATTCAACAATTACTGTAACCCCAAACTGAGATTCTTGTTGGATAGAAGGAGCAAAATCCATTGAATCCCCCCAATGTTGATGAACTCCAAGAGACTGTTTGTAGAAGATTTATCAAGCACTGACTTGTTTTTAGAGTTACTGGAAACAGGGGGTTTGGACAGACGAGAAACAGGCAAATGTCAATTTTATATTTAATAGTAACCAAGACATATCCAACAACTATAGATCAGAGCCTGACCTCAATGAACCTGGAACAATACTTTCTGACACAGGATGCAGGGAGAACACAATAGAACAGTGAAGGGCAAGTTTAGGAAGACAGATAAGATATTAAACTGTTGGAATAGGTTATTAGAAAGGAGGGTTTGAGGTACTTATTTAAAATACAGGTTGGTGCAGTAATAGGAAGACAGCAGGATTGGTGTCTGAAAGAATGAAAATAAATAGCTCAAAGAGCCTTCGTCGGGTGAAATCTCTCTTGCGATCTACTTATAATAATCCTTAATAATAATCCTTGCATTTGATACAGCGCTTTTCACGTCTTCTCGACGTCTCAAAGCGCTTCACAGAATATACTGTAAAGTGAATTGACTATTTTTGTGGACGAAACACCCACAAAATACTTGATTTATTTGCTCTGAAAAGAGTATTAATTTTAAAGACAGTAATCAAATTAATGGGGTGTGGACCCCAGTCACTGCACATGCCAGTACACAGGAAGTGTGTTTGGCATTGACCTGATTGCCTGGAAATTGACCAATTCTTCGTGGATGAGAACCAGGTGGGGCGTAGGAATTGAGGCGCTCGGACGCCTAATAAGGCAGCTTAGAATTTTATGGCTTTGACCAATGCATTCCAATGGGGTACCAGTGCATGACTTTGGCTTGAACAGGGTGTATTAGTTTGGTTCAGCTACAGTCGGCTTTTCTCTTGTAGTCCATCAGTAGTCATGAATGGACCAATAAGATGTTCTTCCATAAATCTTCAATACATTTTTGTACCCTTCTCCTGTGTAAAATAGGATACATTCATTTGTTTTTATTATCACAGTAGAGTAATTCATAGCAACGGTACAATGAAGACAAAAACTAATTTAGTCAAGCGTAGTTGTTAGCAGGTCCTGTAGCAGGAATAAAAAATAGCAATTAATCATATTAGCCTGCAAATACAATGAATCCTTTTAGATTATTATGGAAAGTTTACAATAAAACATCTAATTAAACTATGATATGATTCTATGGGCGATTCAGTTATCAATGATGTTCATCATTTTACTATTAAAAGAAATCTGTAGTATACATTAAAAAACACAGTAGATTCTGCTGGCTCAACCCAGATTTATACTATACTTTTTTCATTGTTCGTCTATGAATTCCACACTATCACAGCAACAAATACTGGGAGATAAAAGCAAAATGTGGTCTAGATTGTTTATTTGGGTTTTTAGAAAGCATTTCGCAAAGTTCCCAATACAAGGCCCTAAAGAGGTTCATTCCACTCCAATAGGTGTTTAGAGTTAGTTGAGAGAGATGAATCGGGAATAATTCTCAGGCAACTAAACTTGCTTCCACTGAAGAAAAGAAGAGCTGATAGATGTGTTTGGAATAATGAAAGATGTAGATAAGGTTGAATTATTGAACATAAACTTCTGTGCATTGGACTGGAGAATACAAATTCACAATTAAACAAATCTAGATTTAGAGATTAGAATTCACTGTATCCCCATAGGATACCACGTACATCGCACACTTTGGTGAGGATACAAAAAAAACGCAAATAGAAACGGAAGAAACATGATTGTCATTTTAAATCTGGTTCGCATCCAATGTTTTATTCAATATGTTCATATACCTAATGTTAGCCATTAATCTGAATGCATTTTCTGACATTTAATGATTAACGAGTTTGTTCCGATTGAGTTTGAAGAGAAACTTAGTTATAATGTGGCAACTTCCTTCAGTAAGAATTTTTCCCCAGAATTAGGTGGCTGTGTATTGATCCTAGGCTGATCTAATGTTCTGGCTCTCATATCTGGGCCAACCGCGGAACCTCTCCTACTATTAAGGTAAATAAAATAATCAATACAAAATTTATGAAAGGCATTCCTAAGAGATGGAAGGATAGGCCTACTATGGTTGTGCAGAAATGTCTCAACCTTTCCTTTACTTCCATAAAGGGAGTCTTAAATTTTATTTGACAATCCAGTTATTTATCGTAGCATTAAACAATGAAAAATCAATGTGAGGAACAAAAAGATGCAGAGAAAACATGACTAGTTACACTCTATTAGTAAAATGTAATAAGAAGGGGCTCCCCACCCTCAATCTTTTGCTCCCCAAAAAAGGGGGATGGAAGAGAGAATTATCTGTCTATATAAATATATAAACCACTTAAATCTATACAAAATTTTACTTTAATGATTTTATGCATTTCTGGAGTACTTTTTTCCTTAATTCTAAAACGGTTCGATCGATAACATTTCTGAGTGAGTAGTGTTAATGGGGAAAGCATGCAAGAATGCAGAAGTTTAAAACGCCTTACAAAATTGATTGATTACTTCAAAAATATTGAGTTTCATTTGCATGTAAAAGCTCGGTACCTACTTGTTGAATACTGGAAAGATGAATTCCTTGCAGTATTTCTCGCAAATTTTTTTAAAAAAAGTGTAGAAACGGACTAATGGGTATCTGGTGTTAATTCAGTTGAGAGGTTTTGATGACATCCTAATTCGCGAGAATCAGCAAAAAAATGGAAATTGACTTACAACCTCAAACTGGCTGCCAAGTATTTGTTGTGTGTAGTTAAAATAATGCATGGATTGCACTATGTAAGAAGGCAGTAATGCATCAAGGGGATTAGTTGAAGGCATAGAACAGCGAGAGCAAATCTTGAGCGGTTTATAATGTTATCTGAACTCTGAAGATGTGTTACTACCGTGCAATCCACTATGGGTTTCTCAGTGTATTTTATTTCCATCCCAAACCTTGATGGATACACAACTTCAACCAGATTGTGTAACTTGACCACGATGATGATGCACCACGTGATCTGATAAGCAGTGAAATCAAACATTTCACTAGCTGAATGCCGACTTTTGTTTCTGATGTATTTATTTAACTATAGATGTGTGTATTATATATTGTGCTGTATAGATTGTATTGGTAATCGGATTGCAAATTATTTTTCAATAAAGTGCCAATAATTTTGCAGTTTTCTGTCGTACAATATGGATGAGCCTTGGCTTGCTGCACTTATTTCAGTTCCACTTCAAAACTTTGATTTCCCTCCTTTCCATTCACTTTACTTTGCCTCTTTTTTTGTTAAATTGATGATGGCTTTTATTGTTTGGGACAATAACACTATTGTGGGAGTAGAGGTGGTTTGTTGAGGAAGAATGAGTCAAATAGCTGATTTATGGCATTGTGTGAATTTACTCTGAAGGATTTTTGTTTTTGCTGCATTTTGGAGGCAGATTACCTAGTAACAAACTATTTAGTATTCATATCTAATCTAGTTATCTTATTGGTTAATGAAGAGACACATTACTACATTAAGAAAAGTCTGATTTTGCACATTTGTCTTCACTAACTGGGCTCATTTAGAAATGCTTAGTGCCTGTGTCTGATAAGAAATGATGGAATGTCTCAGCAACCGTTGAAAGCTGCATATGAAATGAGCTGTGAAGAAAATAAGGATTTGGGTTTTCATTGAATTCCAGGCTATTGTCCGAGAAGTTCCCTCCCCAGAGATGACAGAGGACCCTAAAAAGATCACCACAGCTATTTTCTACTCCATCAGCTCGACCCAGCAAGGACTGCAGGGGGTGGAGCTCGGAAATTATCTCATCAAACGCGTGGTCAAAGAACTTCAGGTAGGCCTGTGTGCAAACAAGTGTAAAGACTGCAAGGACGGACCTTAATTACAGCCAGGATCAGCAGCATGAGCTTGACATGAATAATGATAATAGCAACAGCAGCACTCTGACTAAGGACAGAGTGTGCACTTAGTCCCACGGCTCATTAAAGCTCTGAAGACCGCAGTAGCAATTCCTAGTCAGAAATCTAACCAGGCTGCTTTGTGTTTCTCATTTTAATCTGTTTAGAGAATGTCGTGACCGAAGATGATTTTTGTTTTGTTTTTCAACATAGCCATGCAGTTGTCTTAATTCAATTCTCGAACCTAACGCATCATTTTGCTTCATAAAAACCTACAAATGTGATCTTTCGAAGAGTTAATGGACATTTTACGACTTGGTTGTCACAGCAGCCCTAACTCTTGAGATGTTACCAGTGTGCTTGCAGTTATGTACTTTGACATTAGCTGCTGTGAAGATTCCTATTTGATGTTATTTGAAATGTAATCAGTTGAAAATCAGAAAAAAATGTATGAGGGGGAATTGGCTGTGTTTTTACTACAGCACCGTGCTCCTGACTTAGAGACTCGATCAGCATTTGCACTCGAACATGTGTGTTGTGTCTGGATTATCCAGAGAAAGCAAGTGGCCTTCTCACAACTCAAGTGTTTCTTTTTGTAGGTTGAGAAAGGAGTGGTATTGATGATGTCTCCGGAGATTTCTGAAGTGTGGATCATGTAGGCATCCATCTACCTGCCTGTAACAGGTTCTTTCGGGATTTTGCTGGGAGAAATGCCTGGCTATCCATTGCCCTAACCTTTATTTTTTAAACATTGGTATTTCTGTCAATACTAACTGAGTGGTAGTTGTAAGGGCATTTTATGGATAAAACTCCAAAGCTTTATATTGAGCACAGGGGCCACTAAAGCAACAACTTGCATTTAGCTGGGCTCTTCAAGCAGGATAGATCTTGCATGTTTCAATAAAAAATCTGTGCAATTTTGGGTGACTTTAGTCCATAACCGTTCGTCTGTTTGCCATAACTCCTTACCTCAGCCAATCCTTCAGTGGATCCTTGTATTACCAGACAACTCTTACTTGTCCTCAAGGAATACATCAGCCTAGAAAGAGCTTTTTTTTTGTTCACATTTCCTCCATTTCCCTTATTGACCTCGCAAACCGTGGCTCTCAGATTTCTGGGGTGAATTGTGCATTGCGATCTCACTGTTCGTAGGCGATTGCTTCCATCTCAGCTGATCCTCCAAACAAACCTAGTGGACTTCCATTTGATAGCTCAGCTGTTTTGAGAGGAGAAGATTACAGAATATGGGCTTGCTACCTAAGGCGGTGGATACACGAAAGTGGAAACAAATTCATGAGTTAGTTTTCCACTTTCCACAGAACATTCACGCACTGTCTGTGATCTGTCTGTGCTGAAATCTCCTCAGACAATAGTCTTTTTTCGTAAATGTGTTATTGAAGGTTGTTGTTATGATCGATCGGATGAGAGCAGCCAAAGCCTTGGTAACTGCACACGGAGCACGGATGGAGCTCAGATTCAGATCTTGGTTGCACTCTGTGTCTAAAATAGAAGTTTCCTGAACCTAAGGTTTCCCTTTAATTGGTTTTGACAGGCTTTACAGTGTCCTTTTAAAGTCATTTTGATGTAAGAAATGGAGCCATGATATTTCCTAATGAGATAACATAGGCGAACAGCACAAAGTACCTACTATTTGATCGTCAGGGTAAGGTTTTACTCAGTAGCCTTGAATTCTGGAGATGTATTGAAAAATGTAACCTGTACTGGGGAGCTTTGAAAAATAATCAGCCTTGAATTTCAACTTTTGACATTTGAAGTATATTGACAGACAATGCTTTCAATTAGATTTCATAAACTGCCAGCCTCTGAACTAATTCCATCACTTTCAACAGGATGATTGACATCTCGTAACACTGGTGCGTCCAGTACACCTCACCACAGCATTTACTCTGTTTTCGGGGTTTTTAGAAATGTCAGAAGAGAAATGGATTTTGCACATGTGCCACATCAAAGTGATCGTCTTAAGAATGCCCTGGATTCATATGTTTCGCCTGCGAAATACGCAGACTGTACTCTGCAGCAAATCCTGTGAAGCGCTTTGAAACGTTTCAACAGCGCAATGAGGCGCTATGTCAAATGCAAGGATAATTATTATAAATGGGCATGTTTTTGAAAAGCAAAGTTTGGAAATTCCTGCCCTATGAGTGGAGGTCGTGTAGAGGGGACAAAAAGAGAGACAATTACTTCATAAAGAGAGAGGAAGATTTGCCCCACGCTAAGCTTGTATAGCTCACAGTGATGAACACCCCGGATAAGATTAACAACAGCCATGAAGGGAGGGCATCAATGTTCTGCTTTGAATAGGAAATGTGCAAAGTCCTTTCTTTGCATGAGATGTAAAACCAAGTTCAGGTCTGCCTGTTCACGTGAACTTTAAAACTCCCAGATTATTATTATTAAGTGTGTGGCATTATCCCGCGGTGGTAACAAAAAATATAGTGTATTTCCCAAAGCTTTTCATTCCTCTTGTTCTGTTAAATGTACTTGCCTGTGCTTTTAGTTACTGCTTGCCCACTAGCGCTATTATACTGAATGATGCATTATAATTGCAATGAAGTGGGCACTAATCCATGTTTAATTATAGGATGGAAGTGTTTATGGGGCCTGCACAAGTGATAAATGACTGGTTGTCATTTGATGGGGGAATGATCACACACAAGTTATGGCTGGTACTGATGTTTTCTGCTGGGAAGCTCTGATGCATATAGAGTCTATTTTGAGCTGAAGTCATTGAAGAATGTGGGTCACTTCCTAGCTAAGCAAGGACCCGAGATAGTTGGTGACAAACCCAGACCATTATTTCGTCCACCACCAAATTTGGATCCTAAGGCAAACCTGACACAGAATAAATTCAGAATGAGAACTGGAGATGAAAGCAGTGTAAGTGAGCAGTTCTGTGGTATAAACTCACAATCTTCTGACTTGGAGACCAGAGTATGACTGACTGAGAGAAGATAACGATTTAAAGCACAAACTGGAGTTTTTCGAACTTTACTAATAATTGAACCCTTTTGTTTTACTGAAGTATAGGTACTTTGGTTTGCAGGAATGATAGGATAAAGGTAGCTTGTTTTTCTGTACAGGTACATTGCTAGTTAAGTGCTCTACACTGTAGTATGCTAACAGTAGTTCTGACATCAATCTGCTGTTTTTATTGTCTGACCTGCAGGGGGAATTTCCCGGCATGAGACAGTTCTCCAGTTTGTCGCCTATTCCAGGTTTCACAAAGTGGCTGCTCGGCATCCTCAACCAGCAAATAAAGGAAGGGGAACTGAACAAAATCTTTACAAAAACAGAGTACAAAGAAATCCAGGACCTGGTCGGAATACCTGTGTTAGAAACGCTTAAACAACTCCTCACCACCAACGAGTGGACGAGATCCGACAAGCTAGTGAGGGCTCTCGAGCTGCCGCTCATGAGAATCTGCGGCTGGTACTTGTACGGAGAAAAGCATCGCGGGGCTGCCCTCAATCCCGTGGCCAACTTCCACCTGCAGAACGGGGCCGTGATGTGGCGATTGAACTGGATGGCCAACACTAGCGCTCGAGGAATCTCCTTGTCTTCCGGGATGATGGCAAACTATCGCTACTTTCTGGAGAATACCAAGGACAACAGCACCCAGTACTTGAGGACAAAGCACATAGAGGCATCCGAGCAGATTCTGAGTCTCGTATCACAGTTTCAGAAATTCAGTAAACTTTAGATCGACGTATATATTCGGACACACGCACGCACACGCTAGTAATTTAATTGGTATTTATTGCAGTTTAAATCAAATCAAAATAATTGTTCTTCATAATTTTTACCTTCAGATAGAAATTTGTGCTGTCGAGCAGATTATTTTTTGTGCCAACTGTATGAATGGATTTTTTTTTAAAAATGCTGTGTAACTCTTAATGCATATGGAGGCTAAAATAAAAGTGAGGTGCATCTGTGTACAGTGTAATGTCTCAAAACGCATTGCTAACCTGAAAATGGCCTACAACTGTTGGTCTGCTGCGATACATCAAAACCACAGGAGGATTTTGATTGAAGGATGTTGGAGAACATCACCCTGATCGCTGGAAACCAAGCTGACGGTTGTGTTCAGATCATCAGTACCCACAGCGGTCCTTCAACCCTTAAGGTCCTACCTTCATAGAAGCTTCTTAATAATAATAATAATCCTTGCATTTGATATAGCGCTTTTCACGTCAGGAGGACGTCCCTGATTATTATTATTATTAAGCTTCTTGTGCTTTCCTCAACTGCTGTACTGCGGGTAAATATCAAACACTGATGAGCACAGTGCTGGTGGAGCAGCAGGAAGGTAGAATAACTTGTCCATTTTAGACACGTTTCGAAATGATGCCACGCAGCATTGCTCTGTAATAGCCTCACGGACGGAGTTCAAACAGGCTTGTATATAGTATTCTGGCAACAGTAATACATGGAATTATTGTAAATTTTCATTTTTTGGAATTTAATATAATAATACTTGCATTTGATATAGTGCCTTGTGTCTTCGAGACGTCTCAAAACGCTTCACGGAATATACTGTAAAGCGAATTCACTGTATATTTTGTGGGTGAAAACATGAACATTACCCATGCCATACCATTCAAATGGAGATGAAAGTTGCAGGCAATTTAGTGTAAGATAGTTTCTAAGCTGTGTAAATGGAGTTTAGGACACTCAGGCAGTGATGTACGCCATTACGCCTCTAATTAATGTCCTCTTTGACAATTTTTTCAACCTCAGTTAACAATAAACAAAAATAACAATTAAAGAATCTTGTTTTCAGCCCTCAAACGCAATGTATAACTTCCTTCCACTTGGTTCCCATTTAATCCTGATTGCTACTTCTCCTTCAGAGAATGAACCCAAGCCTCAATTATATTCTTTCTGATACAGTATTCCTTAGAATACTGAATGCCACTAAGTAGGAGTTAGAAGAAAACCAACAAAGAATGTGTGTCTTTCTGTATAACGACACGCTTAAAAATCGTATCAATTCATAAAAGTTCATTTCGAAGCCCTGATGTGGAGGTAATATTGAGATCCTCAAAGGGTTAACACAATTTCTGTCCCTGGACCACCTCCCTCTCCCCCATGCCTCTACTTTCCCTGAGGCAACTCACCTTTACGTATCCTAGAAAAGAGCAGCTGAGAATGAGCAAACCACAGATTGCACCGTTGCTATGGAAATCATAGCTCCAATCATAAAATGCAACTGCCAAAGTACGTACACTATGTCTAATGAATCTTTGTGATCACTCCACATTCTGCTTCTATGTGCAAGGGTCATAAGGGGCAGCAGGTTCACCACTGGCGAGCTATTTTAAAAGGATAATTGTTTTGACACGCAGGGAACGAAGCGTCTGAATGCACAGCTGCACAAAGTGGTATATGTTGAAATCAATGGGCTCTGACAGTTGTTTTGGGCGTCTTTTGGTAAAGGTGCATCAAACGGCATCAGCAATCGTATTGAACACTTTTCAAAGACGTGCGTTACATTTTTTCTGAAGTCTTCCAAGTTTGAAGTTAAATGTCGTACATGGACTTGTCTTGCAAGTTCCTGGGTGTCTGATGCGAGCAGTTACAATGCAAATACAATTTACATTTATATTGTGACTTTCACCTCACTCCCTAATCTCAAAGTGATGAATTTCCCACCATTAAAAACAAAACAAAACCACGTTAATGCCTCAAACCTGTTGCGTAGAATCGAAGAAATGAAAGCGGAGCAGTCAATTTATCTCTTCGAGCATCATCTGACACCAGATCCTCAACTGGAACTAACAAATCTGAATTTTCTGCCCTTTCCTCATTCCCTTTTATATTCTTTCTCTTCATTGCAGAAGTTGCCAGTTGAAGCACTGCCTCGCAACTTGGCCAATGAGCAGCCGTGTCAAAAGCACCAGCATGTTGGATGAGACTTGGATGATACAACCAAAGGACTGTTATCTATTTGCTGAGTTGAATTGAGTTTCTCCCAGGATCCAGGACAACAAATCCTCCAGATTAATGTGGCATTCACCTCGTTGGGTGTTTGGAGAAGCCTTTGCTGGCACAAATGGCTGCTGTATTGCCTACAAATGCAGTCTCTGTGCTTGACAACAATTGTCAATGAAGAATCTTGCAACATCTTGACGTGCTAAGGCGCTCGAACACGATGCAAGTCTCTTTCTCTCATTTGAATTTCCAGGAACTTGTCTGTAAAAACATTTTAGTGGAACGTTTCTCTGCATATGTTGAGTCAAAATAAGGTGCTTAATTCATATTTTTTAAAAAAAGAAATTGTATCTAAATATAATTTACTTTCTATGCATCCAGTAATAATAATAATAACCCTTGCATTTGATATAGCGCCTTATTACGAGGTTGAGATGTTTCAAAAGTGCTTCACAGAATATTCTGTAAAGTGAATTGACAATATTTTGTGAGAGAAACGCGGCAGCCAATTGTGCACAACAGTGCCCACACACAGTCATAATGCGTTATCATACCATTGGGATTGGTGTAGGGATGCAGGTCAGGTCAGCGGAAGAAAAATAAATGTAAGATATTGCCACTTGAGTTTCTACAAGGTTAAATATAAAATGTTAATAAAACGTGAGCCGTCTAGCATAAAAGTGTTTCTCGTGTTTGCAGTATCAAATTTTTCTTTCAGCGAAGTTGCTTGCGAATGAACGTAGAGTTCATGAATGCAATCTGGATGCAAAACAAAGTAAATGTTAATACACGTAAAACAAAATGACTGTATGAGTAACGTTTCAGAAACACAAGCTCACTGCAATCACTAACGTTTGCTCAACAGCAATCTTGGGACCATAATGGCAATGACAACCTTGTCTGGAAAAATGTGTTCAGATAGATACAGGGGTGATTATAATCCAATTGCATCTGCTTAAATCTCAAGACTGCAGGGAAAAAAACATCACATTTTCACTGTAAAATGGCACGAAATGTAAAATTGTATTGGATTGTAATGGGAACTGGAGTAACAAGGTTTGGAAGAGTAAGCCACCGTTAGATTTAATTAAAGCACTTTGAGATGTTCATGGTAGCTCAAAGGCGCTATATAAGTGCAAGTTTTTTTTAATTTAAAATGAAATGAGCTCGATAGTGGAAGCTTGCTATCTTTATTTTGGCACTATTACAAGCTTAAAAATAATATTTTGAGATTATCTGCACCCACCCTCCCCACTTCCCTGTGCTGCATTGAGGTGTCAGCCTGACTATTTGAGCTATATCCCGATGAGGGGGCTTGAACCCACAGCTTTGTACATGGGAGTTTCCATGCGTAGGTGGGATACATAGAACTCTCAATCAGGTTTGGATCCTCTTACTGGGATGGGTTTCCGCGTGTGTCGGAGAGTAAAGGTAAAAAACCATTTATTAATAATAATGACCATTTAATAACAATATCAAATGCAAGGAGGATTATTAATATTTCCAGCGAGGACACATTCTTGCTTCAACCTCGAGTGATAAAATGGGCATTTTGAAACACTTAAAAACTATTAGCGAGATGTGATCTTCAAATTCTGTTTCTGAGCAAGATTTGAATTCAGGAGCCTGGTAATGGGGAATATCTTTAGGTAGCAGTCAGTAGCACTGTGGCATTTTGTAAGCTGATGTGTGGACCGATTCTAATCTTTTAATGGCTTTAGCTCCCCATTTTGTGTGGGCCATCATTTTTCCCGCTGGCTGCACCTTGTTGTCAAGACACATTTAAGGTTTCCTTGTGTTTTTATATAGCGTGCGAGAGTACAATTCGAGGAGGGTAATTAATATTTAAATGGTGAATAATCCCTTCGTGATTAATAATCTGAAAGAGCAATTTGTCGTACTTTGTGAAGGCTTACGTTTCACACATGGTTGAAAAAATATTGTCTGTGGGTTCCATATTAAGCACTTGTTTCAAGTCGGTAATGGAATTCTCAATATGATTCCTGTTGAGCGTGAGAAGCCAAAAATATGGAAGTGATGCCAAAAGGTAGTTCCTATGTATAAGGACATTATCGGTGCTGTTTTGGAGGTTCTTATTTTCTTTGTGGACAAGAGCTTTGCCAAACGCGCAGAGAAAATGGCAAATAAAATGAGCAATGGCCCCCAAGTCAGGTGTATTTGAATCGAGGCTCTTTCATTCTCCATTGCTGCAAAACCCAATGATAACCTCGTCAGTTCCAGTAGGCAATTAATCCAAGCATCATTAGGTTTATACATCCAAGACGCTTCTTGTGATCTCACAGGGTTCCCACTGGCTATCTTATTAAAGAATCTTAGGGGAAATTGTGTATTAGACTCAAATGTATATCAGAGTTGAAAGTACGATCCGATATTGAATCAAACCATGAGTAACCTGTCTACAAGATGTGGCTTGAAACCACAGCCTTCTGATTCGGAGGCGAGCATGCAACCAAATGAGCCAGGCTGACACCCAAATTGTGTTCTAGTTTGGTTTGTTTCCCTCCCTCCTGCGTAATTTTAGTTTAATAAATCTGATTCGAGTACAAGTTGGCTTAGGACCAACTTCGGGAATTGGCTGCTCTGAAGTTTGAAGACGTTAAAGTGATAGTTTGAACAGACTGGTCTGATGTGCCTGGAATTGAATGGAGTCGATGAGATTTGTAGAAAATTCAATACAACAAGCAACTGACTGTTTATTTGTATATTAGCTGGTGCAGCGGCACATAGCTGGTGCCAATTGTAACAAGGACAGATGAGTAGAGATTTGCCCCTGATAGCTGGGAGCACAGAACAGAAAGTCTGGGAGAAATTATAGCGAGATACTAAACAGTCCTACGCTGTACCTTTGTGAGTGTTTCACTCCAATGAACGAAGCCATTGGGGAAACCGTTGGAGCTGTTTTGTACTGCCTCACAATAAATCTGCTCTAAAATCTACAAGGATGTTTTGGTGTTATTGGTCTAACAAGCTGCTGGTATTG